ATGACGATCGGATTGATTTTAGTGCCTTGAAAACTTCCAAGAAGAGCTAGATTTAGACCACAGATATAATATACAAGTTCCTATGGCTAAATCGAGTGCCGATGAGTCGCAGTCGGACGAAGAATATTATTGTTAATATATATTGTTTACTCTGCTCTTTCCTTCATCTTTCTCTCTAATAAAATTAAAAGAACATTTTAAGTAAAATCTAAGCGAAATCTCATATTGATATCCTAATAGGTTGGGCACAATGCGTGTCTAAGGTTAGTGCGTCGAGTTCAGACCGATTTTTTCCCACGGCTTGCAGCAAGCCAGGTGGACACAAGTGCTCTGCCGCAGCAACGCAAGGTGAATTGGGTTAATCTAATTTAAACGTAATTTACACAAGGCAAAAGTATCCATTCCTTCTCACAGATTTAATATTAACACAAAGGTCATGAAACATACCAGGGATTTTAATTTTTAGTTTCAGGGAATTTGCATCACAATAAGGTCATATAAGTGCCAAGATAAGGGTGTTATGAGAGAGCAACATACAAAGAAAGGGAGGAGAAATAAGGATGAAGATATTTGATAGGAAAAAAAAAGGAACAAACCACTGCATAGCACAAGTTAACCATCAACAGAGAATTTGTATAAAACAATATATTGGCCAACACACACATAAAAAAAAGAAGGACCGAACTTCAAATGTAAGAAAATTTCTTTGCAAAACATTAAATCTCATTTTCAAGGGCTACAAAGAAGATTACCAGATGGCATATATTTGAGTCATTTGCCTCAAATGGTAGTGCATGTATGATACTTTTTCACAAAGTTGTCAAAACGCTGGGAATACAATCATCACAGGCAACACCCCCCCTTCCTTCCTCCTCCAACAACCTGCATTGCTATTAAACGGTTGACTACTCTCTATATAAATGCATTCTTAATTAGATGAGGACCTTCATTAGTGGCACAACCAGAAAAAGTCTCCTTGCTTTTGGAAAAGATGAAAACATTTGAATCTATGGCATGTTTAGCTAATTATAAAGTAAACTAAATCTTATCCACCCTAGTATACAAACAATTTAAAATGAGCAAAGGGTAGGAATTAATTACAGTAGTTTTTCAAACAACACATAACAAAAGCTGCCAGGAATGGGATAATTTACCCCCCCCCAAAGATCAATCCAATTTTCAATGTCAGCATTTCAAGTGAAATATATTATATATACTACAGACACAATGCACAAATCAGCAAATTCTCTCCCCACTTAACAGGTGCCCTAGTAATTTGCCTCAGATGGTAGTGCATGTATGATACTTTTTCACAAAGTTGTCAAAACGCTGGGAATACAATCATCACAGGCACCATGCGAATTGGTCTTCCCATTGGCTGACTCTTTTATAACAGTGCAACCCAAGTTGCTCAAAACAAGCCCCCCTTTTGTCTCTACAATTAGAGACAGACCCTTAAAATGGAATAGATTCAGAATTGGGTTACTTGTAAGAAAGTAATGATGGTATTAATCTGATGTTTTGTTCATTGATTTTAACCTCCCAAACTTAAATACAGATTTTATCTTATAGACATATTAGCTGAAAAATACTAGTAACTTTCCATTAATAAATCCACAAAATATTTTAGTTTTAGTAAGAGTAAAAAAAAATAATAGTAGAGGGTTTTACAGCGCTCGCAACTACATAAGGTCATATGAGCGCCAAGGGGTGGGTGCCAACAGAGAAGTCTTTACAGGGAATCAGACTTACACTGCTCACCTCTCTAGCTTCAACAGCACAAGGTCTGCTTCGACTATAAAGGCACCCCGGAAATAGCAGGTCACA